CGAATCAGCATCAAATCTTCAGATTTGGATTCGGCCAAATTGAATTGGGGATCTGAATCAAATCACTGTCCCTGATTCAGTCTGAATCTGGACTGAATAGGGCCCATTTTGCACATCCCTAGTATTTTCTATTAACCAGCCTTAAGCCCACAGTCTGTGGGTTTCTTGAACTGGGGCAGAGTTAAGCATCTCAGAATGCTGTTCACTCTCTAGGGAGCCTAAACAATAAGTCCTATGTTTTAGATTAACTTGTTGATGACTAAATGGCTTTTCTGGGTTTGGAAATAAGTCATGTGAATGTATATTTCAGCTGTGATACTGTAAATTCTTATATTAGCGCTTAAGGATGAATAGTCTAACTGACTTCAATAGCCCAGCTGAATAGCACGTGGGAATGTTTGCAAGTATTAGACCCTTAGATAAATTAAGTATGTACACCATAAATAGGTTAATTAGCTAGAAAAATAAATAGAATGGAAAGAGAACCAATACTTCATGGAAGCGAAAAACCACATTACAAGATGTTAATTACAGAATAAAACGTATAATTTGAAATTTTCTCTTTGCAACTGCTTGAGCTGTGGAGCTCAGGACTTGCTTCCTATCAATATTTGTGCATGTAAATGTTTGAAGACCTGTGGAAAGGAATCATGAACCCAGTTACATCAAGATTCAGCCTACTTATTTGTTCTACTGTAATTCTCACTGTTTGAATATTGGTCAGCTTTCATGATAAAATAGCTATTGCAGTATTCCTAATCCTCATTACAGGGATGTATGCAAAACAGAGATGGGTTAATTTGAAAAGGCAGCTTTCAGAAAATGGAAGAAACACCCTCATGCGTGAAGAATAAAGCTACTCTGTATGAGTTTGTTACAATGCTATAATTCTTCTAACTTGCTATTACTGTGGTTGAATGTATTGTGTCTAATAGCTTGGATAGATAGTTTTGGAAATGAAATTGAGTCTTTTCACTTCTCTTGTTTTTTCCCCCTCAACAATCTATTTTATTGCTTAATTGACAGTTGCCTTAATCTCATGTTTTATGTTAATGGTACAGTGCCTTGTTTCAAGCATTGATTGTATACTTTGCCTAGCATTTCAACTAGAAATGCATTTAAGGTTTAAATCGGACTCAAAGTCAATCAATTGTCTGACATGTTACACAGCTATTGTTGTGTATTATGGAATAATCTCAAAATGATTGAATACATGTTTAGAATTAACTAACCTGGACATAGTGTTGGATCATGCTCTGCACTAGTTAACCCTTTTTTACCCCAACCAAGTCACCTTAGAGTTCGGCTTAATGCATAATGTTTATTTGAATATACTAATTACATAAAGAAAACAACTGTTACAAGAGAGAGTGTTGTCTGAAGCTCTGTTTTTTCCTTATGTAATATGATTGTGGGTGTATGCCTGCCTTGCTTGTTGTCTCCCCCCCCGGGCCTCTCCGACCACAACTTTGGAGATCATAGAATCAATGAGAATCATAGAATCGGTGAGTTGGAAGGGACCTAGACAGATCATCTAGTCCGACAACTCTTTGTTACCTGGACATAGAAAGAGACCAGGTTAGTCAGGCAGGATCGGCCTTGCATGAACCCATGTTGGTTACCCCTCAACATCACTTCCCCTGCAGGGCTTTCACAAATGTGGCCCTTAATAATTTTTTCAGAGACCTTCCCCAGGATAGAAGTGAAGCTGACTGGCCTGTAGTTGCCAGGCTCTTCCTTCCTCCCCTTCTTGAAAATAGGGACCACATTGGCCCTTTTCCAGTCCTCAGGGACTTGGCCCGAGCACCAGGAGTCCTCAAACAGTCATGGGAAAAATGATTAGTTGTAAATCCCTGAGGGGAGCTCAAGCACCGAAGACCACCACAGACCACCCAGGAGTTAGTTAACAAGGTGCAAAGTTTTATTACATGTTGGCTACAGTCACTGATGACCACTCCTAATTGCCTCATTAGTGAGGAAGCAGTGATTCCTCTGTCCCACTGAGTGGTGGCTTCCCCGCTTGTCTCCCCAATCACTGTGTCTCCGCTGACGGCTGCCCCACTGGGGTTACTGGGCTCTGAGGCTTCTTTTGGAGGGGGTTCCCTGCTCCCCCCCATGGGTCATGTTGATCTCCTGCGGTCCACTCCCCGCCGGGTAAGTGTCCCTTATCTCACAACATCTCTGTGGCAGATCTGGCCTTCCTCCCCTGGGAGGCTTTGTTTATTGCTCCGCTACTTCCCGTGGCCTCTTTCTCTTCTCCGGTGCCTTGAGGGCAATGTGCTGGTTCTCCCATCCTGCCTTTTAAGCCAGGTGGATTCCCTAATTACTCTTATCACTGCCTGGTGAGCTAAACCCTCCACTGCTGTGGTCCCGGCTCCTCTACTACACGGGGCCCAGACTTGCCCAGTAACGGGGCTCTGGCTTGATCCCCTGTTAGAACAACAGCTGCTATTTTTAACATCAAGTACTTGCCCCATTGAAGTCAGTTGCAGAACTCTGATTGACTTTAATAGGCCAGATTTTCCTAATTTTGTGTTGAAACGTCTCTTCTTGGACAACTTAGATGATGTTGCATTAAGTTCTAGGCTTGATCAAAGCATGAGCAGCTCCATGTATCCCACATGAGACTTTTTTTCCCCATTTACTGCGAGACAAAACAAATAGAATTGTATAATGGAGTCACTGGCTGCATCCAGACGAGTGCAGCCATGTGGTATGTGGCACCCAAAACACATCTGCCATGTTACATACCACAAGTTCATTTGTTCTCCATGCTGCACGGGAAAAAACAGAGCAGCACACATGGGGGCAGTATGCACTGCTCAAAAGAGAATCTGGGCCAGCCAGAGCTACACTGCAGCTGCTGGCCAGGCTCTGCATGGCAGAATCACTGCTGCAGCCCCAGGAGGCCTCCAGGACCACAGGTAAGGACGATGGGGCCAGCCCAGTGCTGAATTCAGCTTCCCCTCCCCTACCTGGGGTACCCTGCTGTGTGCCACAGCATGCGTTCACAGGCGTTCCCCAGGGACAATTAGTGGCAACACAAGGTACACTGCTGCTAGTTGTCCCCGGGGAACATAATGTCCACACCACATGTGGAGGTGGCCACTTAGGCTGCAAACAGATGTCACAAACAGAAACCATTGCACAATCACAGAACTATGATGCGACTGAAATAACAGAGGCTTGGTGAGATTGTTCCAGTCATGTAAGCTATGTCATGAATGGGTATAAACTGTTCAGGAAGGATAGGCAATGGAGGAGAAGAGGAGTTACTGTGTTTTAATGCTCTTTACTGTACCTATTAATGCTCAGAGGTACAGTGTGAAACCAGAGATAGGCCTGTTGAATGTCTATGGGCTAGGGTCCGAGGAGAGAGCAACAAGGTTGATGCTGTAGAGGGGATCTGCTACAGACCACTAGACCAAAAGGATGAAGTAGATGATACTTTCTTCAAATAGGTGGTGGAAGTTTCCAAATCACAGGCCCTGTGTCTCATGGGGAATTACAATCACCCTGAAATCCAGGGAATTTTTGGAGAGTTGGGGACAACATCTTATTACAAGTGTTGGAGAGGCCAACTAGGGGCTGTGTTCTTTACTTGCTGTTTACAAACAGGGAAGACTCGGTAGAGAATGTAGAAGTGGTGGCAATTTTGGTAGCAGTTTCCACAAGGTGATTAGGTTCAGGATCTTGCAGAAAAGTGGGGCAAATTGTGCCACTTGGGGCAAAACAACTCTGCCTGGGTCCTCTTGGATCTACAGCCAGGGGGAGCTAGAGCCTGGGCCAGCACCCGTACTGGCCCCAGCAATATAAAAACCTGCCCGAGACAGCAGCTCAGGGCTATTCACTCTCAGGAGCTTCTGGAGCCTGGCCAGTTGGTATCCAGGGACACTACTCCCTGTGCCAGCTGAACTGCTGCAGCAGCATCCCAAATGCATTTTTTAAAATACCCCAAAATCCATGTTCTTCCACAATTATACCACTCTACATATATATAGAGAGAGAGAAAGAGAGAGAGAAACCAATCAGTTAGGCAATGCTTTATTGATATATTTACAATATTAAAACAATTTGGAAGCCTACCAGTGGCTCTATCATCATAATAAAATAAATTCTAAATATCTATATGTATTGATGTGTGCTTTTGGTTTTATTCTCACATGGGTGTGTGATGGGGGGATGTGGGGTTTGCAGGAAGGGGTGGGAAGAGGTGTGGGGGAAAGCAGGTGGGTGTGTAGTTGGGTGTGGAGGCGAGTGGGAGGATTTGAGTTGGTGTGTGCCTAGTTGTGGTGGGATTGCGGGGAGACTGTGGATGTAGGGGGACCTTATGCAGGGGCTGCTCAGGAGGGGTGGGTCCCTTGGTCCCCACAGGGTGCAGCCCCCCCACACTGCACATGGGCTGGTCCCCCTGCAGGGCCCCAGCTCCTCCCTGGAGAGTTCCAGCCCTTATCCCCTGCAGGATCCTAGTGCCCCCCACAGGGTCCCAGCCACCCTTCAGGGCCACAGCTCCACCCATAAGGTCCCAGCCACCCTGCAGGGCCACAGCCCCCCTGCACAGGGCCCACAACTTACCCCTTGGAGCAGCAGCAGCAGGAGTGGGATGCTGAGAGCCTGCGGCTGTCAGCTCCTCCGTGGTGTGGTACGCTGTCTGTGCCACTCATCGGGCCGGTGCCACTCGTGGGGATCACATCTTGTACTGAGCTGGGTCCTGCCAGCACTAGAGCTGCTTGCACTGCCAGGCCAGGCCAATTTCATGGAGGCAGGACCCAGCACAGCACACAGGGACAGTGCGCTGAGCCAAGCCCAGTTCTGCAGGCATGGAACTGGCCTAGCCTGGCCTGGCAGTGCAAGTGGCCCTAGTGCCGGCAGGACCCAGCTTGGCTTGGCAAGCTGTCCCTGCGTGCCACACTGGGTCCTGCCTCTGGTGGCAGCACTACTTGCCATGCGGTGCATGGGGAGAGGTGGCACGTGGCAGGACCTGGCCTGGCGTGGTTTGCTAGTCTTGCTTTGCACCAGAGTGGGATGTGCAGCTAATGCACACTAGCTGCCTGGCCTGGGCTGGATCAGGTCAGGCTGGTGGGGTGCATTTTCTATGAAGCTCAGGTGCACCTGAGCTTCATGGAAAATGTACCCTGCTGGCCTGATCTGGCCTGGGCAGTGCAGCTAGTGTACATTTGCACAGGAGCCACATATCCTGCTCTGGTGCAAAGCTGGACTAGCGAGTTGGGTCCCACTGCGTGCTGCTGGCTGTTCTGTGGCTACCACATGCCACCAGCTCCTCCGTGGCTCCTGTGCACTGCTGGCTCCACGTTCTTGCTACTCACCACCTCCTTCCCTACCTGGTTGCGACCCCCTGGGCCCACACAGTCTGCTATGCCCTGTGCCCCATACACCTATAGGAATGGCTCGGGGGCTGCCACATGCCTGCTCCCTCACCTGGCGGCCATGGTGCTGGTGGCAGCAGGCAAGCAGGATGTGCGGGGTTGTGGCTGCCCTAGGCACAGTGGGCAGCGACCCAGGCTTCATAGATGCTGAATGGACCGGGTTGCAGGGTCTGCTTTTTGAGTCTTTGTTTTTTACTAACATCTGTCCATAACCAGAGCCAGTGGGGTAAGCTGCATGTATTCTGTAACTGTAGCACATCTGTTAATTTTACTGAAGCAGCACCACGTTGAGGAGAAAAAGGAATGAGGGAAATAGCCATTGGTCTAGGGCAGGGGTCAGCAACATATGGTCCACGGGCCAAATCTGACCCATGGAACCACCATATCTTTCCCTCACAGTTGGAAGGCTTTGCTTATCCCCATGCTGGGTCTGGGCAGCTTCCAGCTATGCCACAGCTGCTTTTTCCAGCTCCCCACCTCCCTGACTGCAGTGCATGCTCAGCTTCCACCCAATAGGGCACTGTGCTGGGGTGGGGCACCTTCCAGCTGTGCCTTCACTGCAGCCAGGGAGTGGGACTCTGAGAGAAGTGGTAGTGTGGGTACAGCTCCCAGCTGTCTGGCCCCAGTACAAACACAGGGCAAGCCCCCTTACCACTGACATACTACCAAAGACATCCAGCCCTCATTAAACTGGAGCTGGGTTCTAGCCCAGAGCTTGTAAAAGGTTGGTGGCTCCTGTCCTTAGGGGCAGTATATAAGGATGGATAAGTGAGATCATGTATGGAAAGGAAGCACAGAGACCAAGGTATTAACTTTTAATAAAGGGATAAATTGAGTCACGCTTTAATTTTCACTCCTGTTAGCAACACTGATGGTGTTGGCCACACTATACTGATAAAAAAATAAAAAATAAAAATCCCTGATTATCTTTCAACATCACTTTATTTCTCTTGGGACATACAACCAATACAGCTAATCTTTCTTACTTACCAGTCCAGGGTATGTCAGTTATCTGATACACATACAAATAATATTTTAACACTTAAAGCATTTTTAAATGCTTTACAAACAGTGACCAATTCATTAATTTAAGGCATAGAGTAAATAGAAAGTACTTTTCGCTCTTCATTTCCTTTTTCTTTAATAGAACCGCTGCACATCTACTCAAGCTCTTACAGAAATGCAACATTCCATAATTTGCCATCAATTCTGAGAGCAAAATAATCCCTAATATTATTACCAGCTTCACTCTTATAGAACATGTTCCATCATTAAAGAGCTTGACTGTAGTTTTAGCAAAAGTTTAAAGAAGGATCTGTATGAGAGTGTTTGGACAGGAGTGATCCTGACTCAGGGAAAGTGTTGCATTAGATGGCTTCAGAGGTCCCTTCCAGCCCTACTTTTCTAGGATTCTATGAAGTCATGGCCATGGGACCAAAGAGGTAACCCAGGGTTTAATGCCAGCCCCTGCTTTTACCCATGCCTCATGTAAATGTTTATTATATCCCCATATTTCTGTGTTGTCCAGGACTGGTTTTCTTTAGGTTTCTCAAGTCAATAACACTACCTTTGTGCTTCTATGTAGAGCTAAATTGTGCTATAAGTGGACCCATTTGTAAGGCAGGAATTACATGTGTTTGCAGGAGCCAGAATTTGACCTCATGGCCTGGAAAAATGGAAAAGAACATTTCTTGCAAGCAATTTCATATCATTGTTTCTAAACAGAAGAAAGAGCAAGATCCTGTTTTTTTCCCTGTACATATTTAGAATGCCATAAAAAAAAGAAGAGTACTTAGTCAATTTTTAAAAAAATTTTCTATGCTAGTTTATTAACACCTTCTGTTAAGATAAGGTTTTGCAACATTTAGTTCTCCTCTAACAAAGGCTATATTTTAGAGCAGCTCTATCCCTTCTTCCCGAGCGTCTGTCTGTAAATCTTTTAATTTCTGATTGAAGGTTACAGTATTTTTTACAGTACTTTTAAAATGCTATATCTAAGATAGCTGAGTCAGCAGTATTTCACATATATTACTCCTAAATATACTATGCATACCAGTGTATACTATGCATTTTCATTTTTCTTTGCAAAACTTTAATCAAAATCCAGATTTAAATAATGTTGTGTTATTAAATTAGGTTGTTTATTTACAAAATGGTCATCTATGTTGATTTCTAACTTGCTTTTTTCTGAAACCAAAAACATAATTAAGCTACCATAGGAACCCAATTTGCAATTTTCTGTCCATAGTATCATATTTTCAACAGATCTCCTTAGTATGCTTGTTACTTTGATCAATTCAGATCATTACAGACGCAAGGGCCTTTAACATGTGCTTAATTTTAAGCATAAGTCCAGTTGATATCAATAAGATTATTAATAATGCAGTATTTATGTATGTGCTGTAAATTAAGCATGTGTTCTAGAGCCTCATGGCTCAAACCCATAATCTTAATGATGCAAAACGCTCAGAATGTAATTAAACTGGCTGAGAATTCAAACTTGTATAAACAACACGGGATATGGGCCTCAAAAGAAAAGTCTAATAAGATCTATCCATCTGTACCTTTAGTGTATCAGTCACCATGGTGTCCAGTTGCCAAATGCTGGAAATAAAAGTC